GTACACATGATTAAGACACGATCAGATATACTTAAAGTAAGAATTCTTCTCAGATACAGGTCAGGTCAAATGAAGAGGACAAGTCCATGTGCCTAGGCCATGTGATAAGAGAAGGGTGTGGAGCTGAGGTTGGACTCTGCTTTCTCCTCTCTGAAAGACCCCCAACAACAAGACTCCACAAAGACAATACAGACAGGTCACAGATCTGTGCTGAAGCTTGGGAGACTGGAAGACGTTCCCTCTGCCATATTGAGATCACAAATTTTCAGTGGAACTTCCCATAGGAAGTTAAATTTCTTAAATTTTGTTAAATTTCCAGGTAGAATTGGGAAGATTTGGAACAACTTGGGACAGCATAGTATTTCTTTCTGAGTTTTATTTTTGTTATGAATTGACCCAACCTTTTGGCTCTTGACCAAGTGTGGCACAATCTCACCTTCAGACCTTTGGTCATTGCAGACCAAATATTGTCCCACTGAGCCTAAGTTCAGCATTTCCTCATAAAAAATGCTAAATCTACTCATACACCATCGTGCCAGTGTTGTGGGTATTTGCAGCTCACTAGCTGAAATCTGAACTCTCAGTACTACAGACTCCCTATCAGTATTACCTCTTCTAATATAACCCTTGGGAAAATTATTGCTGAGTGTACTTCCCTGAGAGAGCTGAGTCAGTGCTGCTGATCAAACAGTTCTCTACTAAACATTCATCTAAATCAGGACTGTGTTTTCATCTGACTAGTCCTATGCAACCAATTTTTCTCAAGCAGATTTATTACTTTAACTAGAAAGCCTCCTTTATCATATTTAACTGCAAATAAATGTCACTGCCCGGACTCAAAAACAAAAAACAAAAACAAACAAACAATTAAAAAAACCCAATAAAATTAACAAGGAGAGAGGTGGTATCTGGTAAAAAGCACACAAACACAAAGTTGTTTTTAAAGTTTTTTTAATTAGTAATTACTACAGTGAAAATAATATGCCTCCTATTGCAGTATTTAATGAAACATTGATTAACAATTATAATCCTAATTATGTCTATAATTAAAAAGAATTTCATGATTAAAAGAGGAACTGGTTACTTTATACCTACATTTCCAAGTAGTCCACCAAAAAAATTACATTGTTTTTTTAGATCGCTGCTTTCTAAAACCTATCATTCAAATTACCTGGATAGATGCCTCACAAGATGCAACTTAATATCTGTCAAATTATATTAAACTACTTTAATTAAATTAGTTTATTTTTTGAGCTACATATTTTTCCAGTGCTCTGTGATTATTTATAAATTAAATCTGAAACCTGATCTATATTAAAATACCTTTCTGTCTACACAGCACCAACAAAACCCTACATGTGTAAGCCCAAAGGCAATAGATTCAAGATTTATAAAAAAAGTTAAATTGGATTCAAATGAATTGCTAATTTCAATGATCTTGATAACACACTACCAGATTACTGCTTTTATTTTGAATCAAAAACTACTGAAAGCCTCTGTCTGGACTAGAATTAGTCAAGTGTCATCTTAAAATGACATCTTAAAAGCCAATACAGGGTTCTAGGATTAGACTTATAAAGTCAAACAATTAGGCAGGTTGATGTACATCTACTAGTACTAAGGACAGAGCAATTCAACATTTATAATAATTTGTGCTATCTTGCCCTGTCACAGAGAATCCAAATTTTGAACTTAATAACTCACAGTTTTACCTAAGAAATGCCTCTGATTTTGTCTACTGTTTCTGTAATAACAAATTTCAGTAGTGTTTGCATTAAAAAGGCCCACAAAATGCATTTCAGCTTCCTTTCACAGCATTTTTGAAAACTGGCTCTTACTCTTGAGTTACACATTAATGATGAAAACCTGTTTACTTGCAAGAAAAAAGCTGGAAATTTCTGATATTTTAAAATAATATTAAACTGATTTAAATATTAAGTTATCTAAAATTATTAAATTTATTCATATCTTTTCTATTTCAATGACTTGACAATTTTATGAGTCAGTATGTTCACTTATAACAATTTGACATATTTTAACTGTAGTTAAGAATCATTAAATGCAAACAACAACAACAACAACAAAAATCATAAAATATCCTGATTTTGTGCAACTGTTTATATTAAACTGGCCTCTCTGCCCTTGAGGAAGTCAACAGCTTCTCCCAGTTTAGTGTCTCTGGCAAACTTGGCATTCCTTTGAGTCCAGTTGTTTAAATATTCCATAACTTTCCACTCCTCCACTGAGAATAAGGTATCCTTATTTCAGAATTTCCTTTTGATTGTAGAGGTCTGTGATTACAGAGGGTTGGTCTTACAATGGATGAAAGACTAATGTGTGATTTGTGCCTTTAAACATATGAATGACCACATTTTACATCCTTCTTAAAAGTTTCATGCACTTTATATGTTTTTGGTTTTTTTCCTAGCTTTTATTAAATTACTGTTTACTTACTCTTGAGTTGTTCAGAGCTCATAGAGTAGCTAATAGAAATCTCAATATTGCTCTTGGCATATTCATATCAAAATGGATGACTGCCAGTAGAGTTAACAGAGCTTAGCATTTCTCTTCAAAAATATGCTGCCACTGAAACTAGTGAGAATATTGATAGTAATGTGAGAGTCTGAAATGGTTAATGGCTAAAACTGCTAAAATCATCTCAGAACCTTTTACAGCTGTCCCTCTGTGCCCACTGAAGCCCATCCCTTCCCAGATATGGCTAGGCACTGGAATTTGGACTGTAGCAGGAACTTGGGATAAGATAAAGGGGGTACTATGGTCTCATCACTCCAAGTCTAGGGAGAAGAATGTGTCCACAAGCAAGAGGGGAAGACTGGGATGCTGGTAGCTCAAACATTCGTATTTTACACACACTTTCTTCTCACAGGGCTGCTCATAGAAAGATCCCTTCGTGCTGTTGGTTACTATGGTGAAAAGGACAGCCCAAGAGCCTCCTCAGAGCAGAAGTGATGTACCCTTTGCCCATGACTCAAAGCAGTGGGACAAGATCAGATAAAAAACATTAATGCACAAAAACTGTTTGAAAAACACCCTTTGTAGTTTAGAGGTACTGAACTTTTTTTTTGCATGGGAAGAAAGACTGGGTGAACATATTTCAGAAAATAATGAGCAGACTTCTCTGTGCATTTTAATTCTGGGTTTTGATATTTCCAGTATTTTCACAAATATCACTATGGAAAAAATCATCACTTTGAAACAATATAATGAAGCAATGTTTTACAATTTATAATATAATTTTCAAAATGCAAATGTGAAAACCATCCACTTCAGCGTATGAAACCTGAATTAATTTTCACATCATCTGCTATGTCAGCAAACTGATAAAAAGTTTACAAGAGAGAGATGGAGAACCTTGCACAAAGACCTATTCTACAAATCTAAAATGCAAAAGATTTTCCAAGTTGAGCTACAATGGGAAGCAGATGCACAAAATAACACATGTAACTCACAGAGTATCAGACTGCTCCACAATGTGTATGTACGCCCAGCATTTAAGATATGGGGAATTACCCAGGAATTTATGAAGTTATGCTCTATATCCAGGATTGGATAGCTGTTAAATACTTAGCTATGGAATAAATAGGAAGTGTGAGTATCTAGGCTTTACACTAAATTTGTGTTTAGATGAAGTATATACAGGTAACATTTGCACCTGCAAAAGAAAGAAAAGCTTCTCCCATTTTATACCGGTGTTTTAAGTAAGAATACACGGAGATTTTGAGACACGTATGTTGTGTTGGTGAACAACAGGAGTAGACAGGTTAGCTAGATATAAGAATCTATTTTTCAATATATGGGATTAATTTTCAAGTGAAATATCTCCTAGAGATTGGCAGAAAGATATATATAAGGAACGTTCTTTTTCAGTACTGGAAAAAATCACATAAAAAGCCATGACAAATGCTAACCCCACACATGATAGATCCCAAAAGCATTGGAAGAGTTGGGAAACAAAATAAATATTAAATTAGCATTTTCAGCATTATTTCTTTTTCTGCAACATCTCCCTGGTTTTATTTCATGATCATCCAGCATGACAAAACAAACAGGATTCTAGTGCAATGAAATATTCTTCCCGTAAACTAGCCTGAGGCATTTTCTCTGCCTCTGCTAGCAGTCATGCTAATGATACAATAACAGCTTTAGAATAATCCCCTTCGTCCTCAGAAACACAAACAATCTTGTATAAACAGAAGAGAAAGGTTCTCAGAATTTTCCCTAAGGCAGCTGTAGGCATGAGTCAACATGTTTCACACAATTGTCCTGTGTGTAGTGGACGCATTATTCAGGAATTGACAAGAGCATCACTTAACAGCAGCAGCACAGACCTTGCCTTAAACGTGGCTTTCCATTAGACAGCAAACAACAAAAATCAAATCCAGGCTACTTATTACCTAAATTCAGCAAAATATACACCTATTTAAAATAATTAGTGTGATCAGGTGATGGGATTCTTTGGTGAAACAGATGCTGGTTGAAGTAATCAAGTTGAATTGACCTCAGCTGTAATAGCAAAGATGTATCTGTCAGAGGTTGTGGATTCTGAGAGACATGAACATAGCACGGTGAACTCACATTTTCATTGATGTTAAACATGATTATATGCCTACTTTACAGGTCACTATCTTTAAAACCAGACAAGTACACAAATCTCACTTGCAAATATTCAAACGACTATTTAAACAAGATATTGAAAATAATAGAAAAAAATAAACTCTTCAGCTTTTCAAAGGACATAATCTTCTATTCTTCTTACTGAAAAAAAGTACTAATTACATGTTTCACTCCCAGTTCCTTCCCCCTCATACTAGCTTTCAGCCAGAATAATTTCACAGTTCTTGAGTGTGTAATTCTGATGGAAAGAAACCGCGCCTATGTAAAAAAGCAATTTTTAGTTATATTTCACTGCTCGTAGATAATTCAGAATATTTTTGATGCAACATATGGCATAGGACAGCTGTCTAGGACAGTGCAGTTACCTGGGTAATACCTTGCGAGGCCAGTGGCACTGCCAAACACCTGCCATAATAAAGTGGGGTCCTCTTCCCTGTTCCGCTTGAACACATCATCCAGCGCTGCAGTCCAGTTGAGCTCATTTAACACTATGGTTGCTGTCAAAGACAAAACAAATTTTTTATTAGAAAGTCACATCCTAACATGGGAAGCAATGGCTACAAAAAGGAAGCTGGAATATTGAGGAAGTGATAAGATTTAGTTTAACTAATCCAGAAAACACATTTTAAGAAATACACTTCTTTTCCTTGGGCATTTTCTTTAAATTCCTCACATTTTCTTCTGGTTGTATTATTTTCATGCCATGACTCTTGGTTTCTTTCACAGACAATATCTTCTACAAATACTTCCTTTCTGATTTGTCACTCTAACTGCACTTGCCAATCATAGGGAAGCGTGTTTATAGAAGAATAAATGCAAGTATATAAAGTTGATGCTTGCTAATTACAGTGCATTGCAGTAAGAACATGCAGAATGACATCAACAAAATTAGGTATAATATAAGCATAACAAGGATGTCGCTTTCAAAATGGATTATATGAGAAAAAGACATTGATGAGTTATGGCTAGTATGAAGGTGGGGCTGCATGAACAGCAGTGCTCATTAGCACACTCTAAAAAGACCTCAATGTTCATAGATCTGGGCCCTGACAGTAAAGGACAGCAAAGTGAATGTTAACATTTATGAGTTGTGTCAACTCCACAATTAACTTAAAATACAAGAAAATTCACATTTCAGCTAAACACTATGTTATTAGTTACACAGAAACTTATGTTCATAAATTTGTCCTGTACCAATACTTGTTTTAATCAATCCAACAATTTATATAATGAAACCAATATGGAATATTTTAACATGTTCCATACCTTCTTGAGAAAGACATATACTGGGAAACTTTAAAATTAAACATTAAATGATGAACACTGCTACACTAAAGAATCAATGGACTAGACTCAGTAATCAATTAATTGTATTGTGATACAAAACACCCCATGTTACAGCTTATGATAAAGCATGTTCTTCACCTCAATCAGTTGTAAGTATTTAATTAATTCTCTCTTCCCCTCCAATTTCTGGCAAGTTCAAATGCACAGTTATTTTTGAAAAGCAAGGGCTTTTTAATGGTTTAGTCACTAATTCTTTCTTTTGTGTTGCATACTGGGATTGTAAGCAATGTTTCTTTAATTAAAGCACCTAGATCAGCAAGCCAAGAGTGCAAAGGAACCTAGAGAAAAAAAAAAAAATTTGAAAAGAGCTAAAGATGTAGGAATAAATCCAATAAAAACTGCCACTTGTCACAGAGATCCTGCTTATGTTATGGTATTGCACACAGAAAAGAAAATTCATCTCTTCTTGCGAATGAAGCTGAAATAAAGCCAGTTCACATTTAAGGGACCTGAGTGGCATTACAGAGCAAAATTGGGTATGTAGGACCACATTCTAGCCCCCTGCTACAATGAAAAAAGAAGATAAAAATAAGGATGGATTGAAAGTTAATAGTTTACAGCCCATTTCCACAGTAAGGTTCTTAAAAGGTACTAGAGAAATGAGATCACAATATTAAATTTTATAGGCTTGTTTTTAAAGGTTAAGGAGAAAATTGCTACACCATGTATTTTGCAAAAAGGCTTCTCTGTTTTTTCCAGAGTAGTTTTAAGATATTACTCTCTGAAGAGATAGCTTTTTGAAGAAATATCAAATTACATTTCCAACTCTTGAGATTCCCTGTAAGCAATAAGCTTGTATAATATACCTCTTTTTGTCAAGTAGATAATTAGAAATAAATATATGTTTACTTAAAGAAGAAAAATTCCTTGAGGCACCATGAGATGTTAATTATAATTTTTAAATGGTTACTGTTCAATTATGTCTTAGATCCCATTTGACCTGCTGTGCAATTAAAGATTATGTATGGACTTCCAAACTTGACTTTGTGTCAGATCTTGCTTCCAGAAGTGGCTCCATTAAGTCATTAGAAGCTCTGTAACTTAGGTAGACAAGATATTTTCAGCTTGATTTTGTTTCTTTTCATGTTATTGTTTCCTATTTGCAGGGACAGGTACCAATCTCATCACTCTAGTGACCAGTGACAGGAGTGAAGAAGAAAGCAGGGAGCTGTGTCAGGGAAGATTTAGGTTGGGTATCAGGGAAAGGTTCTCCATCCAGAGGGTGGCTGAGCACTGGAACAGGCTCCCCAGGGCTGTGATTACAGCACCAAGCCTGGCAGAGCTCGAGAAGCATCTGGACAATGCTCTAAAGGCACACAGGAGCTGGACTTTATGATCCTGATGGGTCCCTTCCCACTTGGCATATTTTACGATTCTATGATTGAAACTTCACCCAAAAATGTATTGCAAAGAATTACATATGAATGCACACATCTCTGCACATACACACCCATATATATGCAAATATATATCCCAAATAAACACACACAGAAAAAAAGAGACAGTCTACAGATAATAAAAGAAATAAATACTGAAGTGCCAAATCCATGTCCTAGAACTGATAATTTTAGCACTTTGTTAGACTTGTTGAGATTAGGCTATAAAATAAGAGATAAGGATTACTAGATCTTGTGTGCTATACTTGTGGGGAAGTGAAGCTTTACAGTGAGATTTAAGAGTTTTATGATATTATTTATGTCCCACTTTCCCCTTCCTCCTCCTTCACTATAATTTTCTCCTGGAGATAAATACAGCAGCCTAAAAAATCCAAGAATTTGCAGCAAGGGGAAAAAAAAAAAAAAAACCTCAAATGGCCCAAGACATGAAGCTGGAATTAAAAAAATAAATAATGTGGAATTCAAGAAAGGCAACAAGAACAGAGCACCTTAACAGAAAGAAACTGTAATAAATCTGGGAAAAGGCTACTAACAGTTTGCAATATATCTGTTCTCAGGCACTGAAAAACAGATATTCCTGAACCCCAGAAATTCACAGTTAAGTTCCCAAGTCTCATTTCTGTAACAATCTGTAGCACATGACAGGTTCAACATATATCACCTTCTTCTTAAATCACCTCTCATTACAGCAAAAAAAATGTGTTTGGAACAGAAACAGTTTATTTGGTGGTACTGATATGCAAATAAATGATTGTATGATCCTTAAAACAATAATTCCTGGAGCAGTTTGCCATTACTAATTCAAACTAGCTCTGTTCATTCTGGGGTTTTCTGTTGTCGTTTACTTGGAGTTGGGTTTTTTTGGTATTTTGGTGGTTTTTGCTTGTTATTGTTTTGTTTGTTTGTTGGTTGGTTTGTTGGTTGGATTTTTTCATTCTATCTAAAAGTGTAGTTGATATATAATGCACCACATCTGTGTTAACTAATCCAGTAATCCGTAAATGAGGAAAAGGGTACTGGGAACTTTAGTTTAAAAACTTTATTTCTCTAAGTGTTTTTCCACAGCTTCTATTAATGTTTTCCTTCTGCTAAAGCATACACTCTGCACTTAAAAACAACAAAAAAACCCCAAAACCAAAACCAAAACAAAAAAAAACCCCAACAAGGCTGCAAATCAAATCCTCTTTCTCCACCCCCACCCCTTTTTTTTTTTTTTTTTTTTTTCCTGGTTTGGTTTTTTTGTTGTTTTTGGAATGCAATATCACTGATAATAGGCAACTTCAAACCAATACCTCTGAGTTCTGGTTTAAAGCCTACAGCAATGGATTTGAAACTTTCAAAAGAAAAGCAAGCAAATCCAATCCTAAGCAGCAAAAAATTCTTGAAATGGTTCCTTATAAAATATCCTGATTCGCAACTGGCACATAAAAATCAAAGCTGTAGTAGAGAACATAGCACCTGTCAGAATACCCTAACTGGAGAGATCGTTTATATTAACCTCATTTATGTAGTGAAAAAATATTTTCTGTTTGCAAAAAAAAAAATAAAGCATTTTACTAAAATAAAATGTTTAGAGGTGCCACACTGCTGTGTATCTACTTGTCTTTCTTAGAGTTAACTTACATACAGGAAAGAGCTTTTGACTGATAATTGGTAGAAAATCTAGTTGGAGAAAACTCTCCAATAAGCTTATTTTCAATTCTGCTAAAAGAAGTCTTTGAAGATTATTACTTCGGAGTACATCAGCTGCTACCTTTCACATGATACAAGCAAGATTAAAAAATAAAATTCATCATCACACAATATGAAAGATCATTCTTTGTGGCTAATTCCACTGAACTTCATCCTCTTTTCATTTTTTTCTTTCTTATTCGTGATATGAGGTTTAAGGGCCTTGACAAGAAATGGATTCAATTTTCCCCTGCAAATGCAATCAATAAAAAATAGGGAGCACTACTGTGCCTTCCTTAAAAGAACTGGAATATACTTCTGATGATTTATTCCACGTAGAGGCTCTGGCCTGAATGCAAGGCAGAAAACAACTTTATTTGAAAAGCCTGAGAGGTATTTTCTATATCTGAAAATATGTGAGCTGCCATTCCCCGATGTGGCAGCTCCACAGACACTGGGGAGAAGAGAAGGGAGCTCCTTAGCACTTCATTAATCTTTAAATGTCTGGAATGTGTTACCCTTCCATATCATGCTAAATGAAGTTGACACATTGATTTCTTTAAAGATAACACTGAGTATTAATTATGATTTAAATATATATTTTCAATCAAATATAAGTAGCCAAAGGTGGACAATACTTTTGCAAGTGTGTATTTTTGCATAATGTGTGCAGACACAGACACTTCCAAATGTAACCATGCTCATCAGATAAAAGAGAATCTCTACTGAAGGTATAAACTAGTATTCTTTATGACTTGTGTGTTTCAGTAATTTTTTTTAAAGATTACATTGTTTAATGTTTACATTAAATTACACAGAATTTTATTCACTCTCCACTGTGACTGGAAAGTTGCACTTCTGTCTTCTCTTACATGGGACTAGGAAGGGATGGACATTTTGTTTCAAGGTACTTTTAAATTAGATTTTTGCACTGGTTATCCATGTGTATGTCTCTATTAGTATATACAGATACATGTTTATACACACAAGCACCTGCATTTTCTACATGTTTATACACACAAGCACCTGCATTTTCTACATAACTACCAAATATAATTTGAAGAATTTTCCAGTAGTAACTT